CAAGTGGTATCGTTAATATAACTCCCAATCTGAGGGACGATGTGATAATATTTGTGTTCCAGTCTTCTGTGGTTTGAATCTGTCTCAGTCTCGGTCTTGTGTGTGTTTGTACATATCTGCATGGTGCATGTGTTTGGGGATGATCCACTCAGTTTGCTCAAATTTCAGGTGGAGGTCAAGTAATCATCACTGAGACATGCATTCCCTTTGTTTCCTGTGTTTTCTTCTCACATACCCACACACCCACACATGCACTGTGACTTGTCTTTCAGGATCTCCCACTCTACTGGAATATATTCTGAATTTATCCAAAAAAAAAAAGAGAAAAATACAGGGCCAGGTTACAGTTGTGCATCGTGGCCAATCTTCCCCTTTGTGAGTCACCGAGTGTTAGGGATATTATTTGGAGGACTCTGTCATCACAGCAATTGAGGCTGTCGTTTTATTCGAGCCTGTCACGCATCGGTGCTATAGGCAGCCACAGTATATTTATTTATTTATTTTTATCACCGCCAATTGGTCCAAGGATCATTAAAAGAAGACATCCCAGTGATGGAGGCGGTTAATAAGTAATGTCACTATGAGCTAAGCCTGTAAAGTCTGAGCTATACAGCGTCTGTGTGTGGCGTGAACTGGCTGCGTTGTTTATGTCCCGAGGATAAAACTTTCATGTCTGTAATTACCAGCTGGAGAGTGGAGCACTGGAGCGGCCAAAGCTGCTCTGAGAAACCTGATTGTGTTTCAGCGCTGGCATGCTGGTCTTGTCAAATCCGTGCCAGCACATGTCACAAAACAGCCGAGAATCTCTTACTTGCACTGGCTGCCCTTTCTCAGTTACGGTGCCAGCTCTGTGAACCAATGAAATTACTGTTGTGGTTCAATCAAGTGATGTTTTAGTTGGAAAATTAGATTATTAAAATTTTAACTGTGGGGTGAAATGGGTCCAGCAGAATCTATTTGCGATGTGTGACTTAACCCTCAGCAATCACCTGACTGGATAACCTCGTATCCTTTTTGCTTTTGAAGGGGAAAACCTGTAAAGTGAGCGCCTGATCAGACCACTTAACTCTGAATCTCCTCATCTCTAAACCCAGCCCAGTCATAAGACCTTTCAGACTTTTTCCTCCATTGTTTCCTCATTCCTCCTCCTAATCATCCAATGATTGCGTTTCTCCATAGCATATAGGAGCGGTGCATGAAGACGTCTTCAGTGTGAATGATCTGTTTATTTCCCTCCCACACCTCCTTGAATCAAAACATTAACAATCGACTGCTTTTATTTTTATCAGGAGGTAAAGATGGAGGAACCTTTGAGCCACACAGGTATTCTCCAAGTTTTTGTTTCTCTTCAGTGGCTTATTTTTTTTTCTCCTCCCTTTAACACCTGCATGGGCCCAACTGCCTCATTCCCACTAATCCGTCATACACGGAGTGCCGACGCTTCATCTGTGGCTGCATGCCGGGAATGCGCTAACAAAGCATAACAGATATTTTGTTTGTTTGTTTCATCCTGCGCACACAGTCTGTCTTTATATTTACTCGCTGTGTATTGTCGATTTGCAGCAGCTAAGATGCTCTCTGCCACATGTTTTCACAGCAATGCTCAAGATGAAACATTTCTATCAGTTTCTTATGTTAAAATATCGATCATTTTAGTATCTTTTTATAGGATAGCATGGCTGTTTACATAGAATAATCCCAAGTCTTAATAATGGATATTTCTTTACTTGAGGCCAAGCATCAAGTGCATGTAAATGACAATGCATGAAACCGCATCATCCCCATAATGCATCACTACCTGACATTAAAGGAATAGTTTGACATTTTTGGGAGATAAGCTTATATACAGCCCTAAATGGCGTGTACCTGCCAGGCATGAAGAATAGAAAGAGACTTCCAGGAATCTCCTCTCATCAACTCCATATATGTCTCGTTTGTTTAATCCTCACAAAAGCAAAGGGTAAAAACAGACAGACAGACCTTAGAGGAGTATCCATCTCCTCATCTAACTTAGGCAAAAAATAAAGTTGCCCAAAACTTGAAACTATTCCTTTAACACTCGACGTTTCATGCCATGCCAGCCACAGTCATTCCATTTTGTCCCGGTGTAACGCGACATTCAGAATAACTCTTCATATCTACTCATGGCCATTAGCTAGCAGTAGAATGGACACTTGAGTTGCCGTGACCTCTCTGTCCAGGCACTGACCTCTGCACTTTTGACCTCTGTTTCTGGCACCTGCTTACCAGGCGGCAGCAGCATCAAAAATGGTCAAAGAGGAGAACAAGCCTCTCCTTCCTGTGAGTCCCTAAAAACCCGATGTCAGACAATCTCCATTTTCCTAGCTGCAAATAGTCCAGAAGCGAGCCGGTTCCACGAGGACGGTCAACCAAAAGCGGCTCTGACGCTTCTTTTCTTGCACTTATCAAACTGAGACAAACTCTTGATTTTGGCTTTTGCTGCTACTTTTGTTTCTTCGTAGCATTTTGAATTCCTTTCTCATTTTTCCTGGGAATTACCGAGCACTTTCTCTTACTTTGCTTCATGAGTTTCATCTTTTGTTTGTTGACCATCTTTTTGTTTCCTCTGCCATTACATTATTTTATTCCAGGTTGCCTGACTTTGCATTTCAGTTGAGCCCAGGCCCTTCATTAACTATATCATTACATATTACTTGTTAGAATATTATAATGGATCATTGAATATTTTTGTTTTTCCTCAGACTTTTTTTTATTTATTCTGAATTAGCAAAAAGCCAGCATGTGTTTGCACTACTCATGGCTTGAGCTCAGGGTGAATACTGTGTTTTTCTAATGCTACTTCTGAAGCGTGTGTGTGTTGCTTGAGGCCTCAGACTCCTATACGTTGGCTGCTTTGGTGAGAGTTGGGAGCTGAGCGTGACTGCATGCCGACTGAGTGAACCTGAAAAGAGCTCCCCGTATTTTTCTGCTCCTCACAGTCTCTCTCTTTCTTTGACAGCACACAGCCAATATGGGAAGGACGACAAGGTTAAGCTACCCAACTTGACAGATGAGGAGGTGAACTGGCAGGGACTGGAGGATTTGTATAGCATAAACGAAAGCCTGTATGAATGTAGGCCTGACTACAGCCCCAGCCCAGAGAATTGGGACAACTTCCAGAAGGATGTAGATAAAATGTTTGCACTGCGACACGTTTTTAACAACCAAACTCATAAGCTTGACGACTCCACCCTGCCAGAGCTGGGCTCCGGGGCCGGGGGTGGAGGGCTTGAAGTGGGCAGTGGAGAAGAGCTGGCTTCTGCCAGTGACGTCTGGCCGGGCTTAGTCACAGAGACTCGCCTCACCACCCCCATCCCCAGCAAAATACCATCGGCACGACCCACACCCAGGCCCACATTGGAACAGAAACTGGAGCCTGCTGTCAACGACCTTCCCGAGAGGCTTGTAAGCGGACCTGAGACGTCCGTTATGTCAAAATCAGCAGTGATATCATCACCAGGTCTGAGTAGAGGCAGGGATGTCCTCCACAGCAATACGTGGGCGCAGCTGCTTGAGGAGATTGAAGGCGAAACGTTTAGCGGGAATGGGCTGACAGAACTCGAAACGCGACACGATGATCTCTTGCGTACTCACAACAGCCTGCGAGCCCAGCTAGAACTCGGCCCCGGTCACCGAAAGACCATCAGCCCGCAGGGTCTTAGTCATAACCTGGACCCTGAAGAGGAGGATGATATTTTCCACGCCCAAGGCTTTCTCCCTTTTGTCTCGCAGACTCTGAGGCCTAAGGTCCATGCTAGCACCACAGGGAGCCCTCCCACCACCACCATCCCCACCACACAGACTAGCACACAGAGTGTCAGGGTGGTGCTGCCTCAGTCAGCTCTGCCTATCACCTTGGACTACGAGGCCAGCGGCTCTCTGCCTCAACCCTCCAGTCAGACCCTCTGAGGCAGACTCACGCTCTGGCCAGCCAGCCAATAAACTTCCGGTCACCATAAAGACACGGTGATTAAGGAGCGCTAGCCAAGAGCGAAGCAAAAAGAATAATGCCACCTCAGTCAGTCAGAGTTGTATAATGAGTATTAAAGTTATTGTTTATTTTTTTACTGTTGCCTACAATTATTAGTAAACAGTGTTATGTTTCTTTTTCCTCAAATATATATATATGTATATATATATATTTAGAAAAAAAGCCTTAATGCAGCTAAACTTAAGTGTTGGAATTAAAAATGCTGAATTCCACATGGATAACAACACCATTGATGTTTTTAATATGTTTTTATGAAAAACGGTGTGAGTGGTTAAACCATCTCTAAATGGGTGATTAGCATCGAGTTAGTTACGCTCCATTCATCAGTTTATCCTAGACCTGCCCAACTCCCATCACGATCCACAAGCACTTTTAAACAGCCCTCCCCACCCAAAAAAATAACGACCCTGGTCGTCCACTGCCTGTCTGCTGTGAACTCAGATTTTATGAAATAATTTTAAAAAGGTTACAGAATCAACATAACTTTGTTTTGCTTTCAGACAATCACGGCACAGTTTAACAGTCAGCTACGAGCTGCGTGAAACACAACACCGGCTCACGTTTGTGTTTTGGTTTGTTTGTTTTTTTTAAATAAAGATTTTCTTCACTGATCACAAGAAAAGCGCTCGCGTGGTAGAACGTCTTCCTCGTGTGCTTCTGTAACTTTTTAAAGAAACGTCACCGTTGCACATGGCCAGTTCATTTCAAGGTGGTTACATTATGACACACTGTTACAGGTTTGTCCATGTCAGTAAAAGCCTAAAAGGTTCTCCAAGGGCAACGTTTCACATCTCCTATCTTGGAAACTGGTTTCACGAAGCTCCTTTTTCTTTGCAGCATTAGCCATGTGTGTAGAAATGATGGAACAACTCTGGTTTCGGGAAAGCCACGACGCTGTTAAGAAATAAAACCTTTCACCCTCAAGTCTCCGTGTGTAATGATTCAAGCGAGTTCATTTTCTTTTCTTTATTTATTGATTTTTTTTTTAATTTATTTGAATGACAAATATCAAGTATTCAAGGCATTTGTAAATCAAGTGTTCACAAACAGTAATTAGACTTTTGCTCCTGAGGAACACAAAGCAATAAAAGCTCAACTTGGAGAGTACAGGAAACTCACTTTCAGTGTAAATACTGAAGAAAAGAAAAAAGAAAGAAAGCAAATCTCGCAGTCAACACAAAGTCATCTGTGCCAGTAGCAATCCAGACATTTGAACAGCAGGACACTGAAATCCAAGTGTGTGTACAGTACAGCAAAGTCAGAAATCGCCGCCTTGGTGCGGCATTGCCGGATGATTCTCTAGCCTTCCCTGCAAGGAGAGCAGTTTGCTTCACCTCAAAGAGATGGTTTCATGCTTTAATAAAAATAAAAATCGCATTTTAAGAACACAGAAGGCCTTGGGCTAAGTAATATTTTGGAAATGTTACTGTTCTGCCTTGCAGTGAACATATTCCTATGGTATTTTTGCACAGGTTTTAAGGAACAGAACAGAGTTTCATGAGCAGCAATCACAGTAAGTGAGTAGATGATTTGTAATCCTACGTTGCTAGTCCTCTTTAGAGTGCGTGATGAATACGACCCAGGGGAAGAAGAGCAGAGAATCATAACATAGGAGGACATTCTGGGAAGCATAGTTTAAACATTTTAATTTATTATGTTCAGTTGACAGATAACAGTTCAATAATCCCAACCTTTCCCCCTTTGTGATGTAAAATGAACCTTCCCGTGTGAATAATACTGTTCAACCACTTTTTTTTTTCTTTTTCTAGCTTTAAGAATTTTTTTTACCTTTTTAACTACAACATCATGGATTAGTTTATAAATATGCTTCTAACTACACGTGAGCTCTATAATATGATTCATTTGCTTTAATATTTACACAATGATGACTTATTTCATTTGAAGTCACGGTAACACTAAAAATTCATCTTTGATCTACCTATGATAATCTTTAAGTGGCAGGGCTGTTAACTCATACCAATCAGAATATAAAATACTGTTACTTTTATTAGACTTATGTATCCCCTCGCACGTGGAGAAAAAGATACTTCTAAAAATGTGGTTTTAAAAAAAAAAAGTCTCACATTTGAGTTTTTCAATGCACTTTTATATATTTCTAACATCAGAATGCAACAAGGCTTCAGTGTTCCCCGCCTCCTGATTAGAGGAAGTCAAGTTATAATTTACTTAAACAACACAAGCCCAGTGTTACGGGAAACACAGCAGACTTTGCCAGAAAGAATTTAAACATCTGACTTAAATAAATAAATATCCAAGACAGCAGATCATCTGTTCTCTCGATTATAACCTTTGGGGGTCTGAAGCAATTAATCCAGAGCAGTGATTAACTTAGAAACCCATAATTTCATAATTTCATAGTACAGTAGGTCTGACAAACAGCAACATTCACTGGCCTTCACGCGCAATCATTCTGTGTCCACTAGATGGCCCCAAACGCCCAATAACTGACATAAGGGGTCAAGCTTGCTGCACTGCTACTTTTATATTCTAAAATACTACTATGTACATCTGATGATCAGTAGTATGGAGACGCCTTTACAATACAAAGCCAAAATTACACATGTGTTCATCTGCAGGTTCATTCCATACAAACCGTTTTACTCTGAAGACGACGCTTTTAAAAAGGGGTTAAAGTAAACGGGGGTTTTGCCACTTTAAAAATAAATCCGACTGTCACATCTTTGGGACATTCAGTAACTTCAGCACATGGTAAGAGATAATGTACCGTTCTTATTTCCTTTCTTCTTTTTGCCGCCTGACAAATAACATTTTAATAACACCACTTGCTATGAAATATCATTTTCTTGCCTATAGTCATTCTACACTGTACCAACTGGTCTTTGCCTGCTTTGAGCTACATGGTTAACTTGCAGACGATCATCTGTGACGACCAATAAGTGCTGTCGCCCAGCTGAAGAAGAAATGACTGGCTTTTTAGTAGCTAGCGTTTACCCTGGTAGCTAGCCTTTTATACTGGACTGGCCGAGGCAGCCTGAGAGGCACTGTTAAGAAAATAAAATGAAGAAGGAGGTGAAAGGATTAGAAAGCACTCCCACTGAAGATGTGGACAACACCAGACGAGAGAACAGGTGCAAAAGGTTCAAATGCACAAGAGTATGCTTAACCTGCAAGTGAAAATGGGATTATCAAAGAATGGACAACAGCGTGGTGGTATGGGTGGAGCAGAGGAGGTACAGATGTGGAATACAGAGGGAGCTGTACAGTACTGAGAAGGGAGGAGCTGTACACAGGAGCTTGCATAGTACAGGTTGTGCTTTAGACGCTGTGTTGATGATGAGTCATCTGACTGTACATAATGATAATGCCCTGCCCTTTAACAGTAGCACCATGAGATGTCTTTATAGCGTCCAAACCTGGAGGTCTGACCTTCTGTGTGGCTGCAGCTGATGATATGCTCTTGAGTAAAGAACATCTTTCGCTCTCCTGTCATCGTAAAGGACGAGCAGCCCTTTAGGTGTGGTGGGTTCACTTGTGTCTCTGCCTGTCTGTCCTACAGCAGTGGCGGAGCCCCCGCTTGGCGTCTGACTGGTGTGGTGAGCAGACGCCGTGTCGTGCAAATGCACAGACAGGAAGGCACGTGTCACTATGAAACCGGCGCGCTCTCAGACGTGGGCAGAGCCTCGGTGGTGATGTGGCAGCAAGATTGGGGGAGTTATTGCTTTGAGGGCGTTGCCTGGGCAGCTGAGGCTGCTGTGGCCGCGGTTAAGCAGGAGGGCGGCTGGCGGCTCGGGCCGAGGCGGGATGAACACGGGGCAGGAACGGGTGCGCGCGTGGCTCTTCTGGCCTCCGGCGTGGCATACGAGCTCGCTGACGGTACCCAGTGGAGGCAGGCGCTGACGCCAGCGCTCAGCTCGCGCCTCCTTGTGCTTGATTGAGTACCAGGTGAGGAAGATGAAGACGAAGCCAACGAACTTCAGGCTGGCAGCCAGGCCGAAGTAGACAAAGCGGAACGAGGTCACATCGTACTCCCAGCAGGAGCCATGCACGCCGCAGTCCTGCTGCCATAGCATGCAGGTGGTGTCGATCACAGCACCGAAGTAAATGGGCGTCGGTATGTAGGCTGGAGGGAGAGAGATGCTGTAGTTAATTACTTTAATTTTAGCCAATTGAATATAAACTATACAGTGGGTTGAGGCTGACATAACAATATTTAATTGAACTGAATTAATTAATTTAACTCAAATTAAACTTCCTTGCTAAAAAACTTAATTTCACAGAATTCCAATACATCCTAATACATACAGCACAGTAGTAACAGTAACTGCACTGCAGTACCACTTCTCTACCACTTGGTGGCAATGTTTGTCTTTATGCCGATCAGAAGCGCTGCTAACTTCAGTAACATTGTATCTAATGAAACTCACAGTTCACATTATTAGATTGTGTTAACTCTATAATCATACACACACAGGGCTCCACCGTGCATCCTTGCACACATTTTGCAACTTTGTGACAACTTTATGTTCACACAGCAAGGCCAGGCTGATTAGATTCCACGCAAAGGCAGCGTTTACTCAGCCCGAGCACTTTTCTACACCTATCTGCTCAAAGGTTCACAGAGGTGTGCTACAAGCTGGCATATCCCTGCTCTCTGTGGCGTTAGTGAGGACGAATAAGACAATAAAAGCTGGAGAAAACTGGACTACGGAGAAGCTGTGAAAACATCAGATGACAGATTTGCTTGGCTACATGCTTGACGACACATCTTCAGCTGCTCAGAAAGCTGTTTGCTGTCTTAGTGAACAAAATAATAACAAATACTCACTTTTCACTAAATTAAAGCGTTTGCACGTCCTGTATGGGCAAAGTAGATTCAATGGGCAGCAATGATAAGAGATTCATCCAAACTAACAAGTTGGTAAAGCATACCGAGGACAGTTTTTCTATGTGGTGTAAATAATGAGTAACATACCAAGAGTTCGGAGTAAGACAAACTGCATCCCAAGAGCAAAAGGCCTCTCTTGTTCATCAACGGACCTGGGTAAAGGGAAACCACATTACAATGAAAAACTGAGAACCCTTCAACAAAGGTCGTTAGATGTTCTCTGGCAAAACCTGGCAGGATAGCCTCCCTTACCTGAGTGTGACGATGATAGCCGAGGGCTGGGCACAGGCAGTGATGAGGGTGACAATGAAGAGGAAGATCAGGAAAGGGATGAGCGTGTTGCAGGTGCGATCACACTTCCCTGACATTGCGTAGCCGTTCTCGTTCAAGTACGTTTTAACAATGACGAGCTGGAGCTGGTTGACCTGGCTGCCGGAGGACGGGGTGATGACCTGCCTGCTCTGCACGCAGCCACAGTCGGTGTAGTTCCTGATCTGTGGGAGAAAACAACAATGAGAAATTGCAATTAAACTGAGTTAAATCAGAACAAAGCTCCGTTTAGATTCACATACAGACTGGATGGCACCACCAACACGGTGAAATCAGTGATCTAGGCAAAGAATCCAAACATTTTCTTTCCTTGAGTTGTTATAACTTCCTCTGGGACATTGTTGTACGCTAATTTCCTCTATTTGCAGGGCTACAAGAAGAGAATGCACAGAGAACAGGTCTTTGTGTATCCATTATGATTTGTGTATCCTCTCATTTCTTTTTCCACTCATAATTCTCCGATTTATTTGACGCTTGTGCAATTATGTGACGCAAACACAAAAGGAACTATGAGTGCAGCAAGTACGCAATCGCACCCTCTATTGTGCACTCACCCCAGTGCTGTCGTTGCCGACGGTGCTGCATCCAGCCAGACAGGGGTTGAAGTAGGTTATGCCGTCAGAGCCGCAGACTGGAGCGTACTCGTGGATCCTGCAGCCGCAGTTCACGTTGCAGCTGCCCGTCAGGTTCCTGTGGGTCATCGTCAGAGTCGGGCTGCAGAGGAAAAGCGCAGACGCTAAGAACAAGAACTCTGTCGCCTCACAGCAAGAAAGTCTCTGGTTTGAACCTCCTCATCGTCAGTGTGGAGTTTGCATTTCCTCCACGCAGTCCAAAGAGATGGATGTTAGACTAACTTTAGTTTTAAACTGGTTGTAGGTGTGAATGTGAGAGAATGCGTGTCAACCGATTGCGGCAGATGGCTGCTCCTCCAGAGGTTTTTTCCCTTACCACTGTCGCCACGTTGGGGTTTTATGGGGCCAATCACAGCTTTGGCTGGTTCCAGCCCAGTAAGAGACCTCAGGTTAGATATATGTTTAAAAAATAAAAATCAGCGGGTGGAAGATGCACCAATAGCAGAGCACGGTATTTTAAAAAGTGAATTTTTAATCATCATAAAGCCATTTTTTTCCATTTACAAATGTTATTTGTTTATTTTGCCCTCTGGCCTGACTCGGTACTTATTTCTACCTCATATTTTCCAGCTGATTCAATTTTTCCAACTATATCAGTTAATGCTAAAATGCACCAAACAGTCTTTTTTTTTTTTTTATATACCCCACCCCTCATTTTTAATTTAGCAATGCACACAAGCGCTGTGTTAGCAAGAGCTGGAGGCAAGGGGAATTGGCCATTCAATTTGCAGGAGAATTTAATAATTTCTTAAGCATTCATTTGTCCAGGTTAGCGTGAGTGCAATCTCTTTTTGCAAGCGTGAGCCCGCGGGAGGATCAGCACGTCACTAGCTCCGGGAAAATCGAAAACAAATTTATGGCCCTATATGCAGCATTTTAAACCACATTCCCTGCTGCAAAGACAATTAAACTTGTCCCACTCTCTCTCTCAGCATGCCATAAAGTTTTGTTTCAAGGGTGGAGAAAAAAGGGGTAAAAAGCATCAAAAAGCAATTAAAAAACTGAAATAGTTTCTGTGTGGAGCTGTATATTCAACAAAAAAACAAAGTATTATTGAGGAGGCTGCGGATCTTCCTGACAATCTTTACAGTTGTCTCTATATATAAATCCGCCTTCTGATTAACTTTGATCTAGCCGTGTGGAATGTGTGATGATAGAAGGACAGAAACGAGGGGGGATGAGGAAGTGACACCTCCACTGGCTCTTTAGGCAGTGTGGGAACAGTCGCTCTAAGCCAGACAGGACTTTGGCTTCATCTAAGCCGGGAGCAGTGAAGCGAGCCCTGGGTTTTCTCTGGGAAGCTTCACTCTGAGCCCTGCGGAACAGATGGGGACAGGCCCTAACAACACAGTGGTCAGGAGTGACGCTCGCAAGCACACACAGCCAACACTGGTGAGGCCTCTCCCTCTGATTATTTTTGACATGCCGTGTAAGGGTAGGTTACTCTCGTTGCCAGTAATTTTTTTCATTAAATCTGCCAAACAGGGGAAAAAAATAAAAAATCGAAACATTTTCTTTTACTCTTAAATCACTGGACCATCATTTTTCACAGGACCAGAAAGTCCAGGCTCATCTTTATTAGCTGTCACTGGAACGACACATTTGGGCTCGCCCTGACATAACAGTGTTACATTCCAGACTCTGTGTGTGTGTATGAGTGTGTTTGCATACATTTTTTTTAAGAAAAGGCATTTAAGGCTCATGGAGTTGCAGTCTTGCAGCACTGATTGCACATGTCCTTTTCTAGACTAAACCCCGGCCTTTAATGAACCCTGCAAATTTTGCATCACTGTGCCCAGGCAGCGCTGCATGAAAAACCCAAGCACAGAGCGACGAGAGGGAGTGGTTTAATCGGCTTTGACGCTGGCAGACAATGACCAGGAAAAAAAAAAAAGGACAACAAACAAACCTGTGATGTCGGGAGGTTTATCAGGAACAAAGGTCTTGTGGCAAGATGCTGTAGCTTTCAATTAAGAAAGCCAGCTCAACACATTATCACATTACACTTTAGCAGACATTTAAGAACATTACATAACTCGACATGCCTCCTGGCTCTGTCCTTTTTTTGTCAGATAGTCCTCAGTCTGTCAGCAGGGGGAGAGCCGCGTCTAGACTAGCATAAGAATACAGACACAAAGGGCAGCTTGGGTTAAATATTTCCCGTGTGGGTGCCACCTGTGACTAGAGACCACCGCTGCTCGTAATGAGGAGGCCCGCTGGCTCACACAGTCTTGTTGACCCCTCTACAAACATGGGCTCAGACAAAAACTACAGTTACAATGAGTCAGCTCCAGGACTTGAAAGCACAGGGGCTTACTGGCAGTGTAGTAAATAGTCACCTTAATTAACTTAGTTATGCGAAAAGCACATTTCACATAGGTTAAGCACTGTTAAGTGTATTTAGTGGGATACGCATGGATACAAACTAGAGGTGGGAATCACCAGATATTATACAATACGATATTATCACAATAACTTACTTAAGGAACAATATTATTGCGATTTTAACATTTTGCAATATGCTAAATATTGCAATATTACTTTTTTTTTTTTTTAACTGAAAGTGATGTCTTCAAAGTTAACCCAACCCTAACCCTGTCATAAATGTTGCCATAAGACAGCGTCAATCTGATATCAGTCTGTAATTGAATGGGGTCAAGTTGGCAATTACATACAATCTGTTCTTAGTAAACTTGTGTGACAGAGCCATTAGCTTGCTGTGAATTATGAGGGCAACCCAAGTGTGTCCACTCTTGGATGGTTTTTCGGTTGAGCCTAATTAATGTAAGTTTTCTTGGCTAATAAAATGTTTGGTGCCCGTGTAAAGCTACACATATAAACGTATTTACAACACTTCAGTTGTTCCATTAATTTTTCTTACAGAGCTCCTGTGTTGTTCTGTGGTGAGAGGGGAACCTTCTAGAACAGGGATGGGAAACTACAGGCCTCAAGGGCCAGTGTACTGCAGGTTTTCGATATTATCCTGGGTCAACAGGGTGGAAAACCTACTCTGGGTTTTCCAAAATGCACCTGAAGGACTCTCAGACCACGAGAAACCGAATCCTCTGGTCTAATGAAACAAAGATTGAACCTTTTGGCCTGAATGCCGGTTGTTGCTACTGGAGGAAACCAGGTTCTGTTCATCACCTTATCATTAACCTCCTAAGACCCGAACTCTTTCATGGCATGCATTTTTAATTTGACTTTAACTGCATTTGAAGTTAACTGCATTTGTATTATTTATCCCTGTATGCTTGCACACGTAACATCTGAGAATGCTAGCAGCAAACAGTGGGAGGAGAGGGGAAAATTATTACAGTAGATCTGCAATGTTTGTAATCAGTTTGCAGGGTCTTTTGCATCATCCAAGGTCGCCATGTGGATGGTACCGCCCGTCTGTGCGAGCGGACTCAAAGCTGAGTGTGCCAGCAGACCACTCCATATTTCTGCCCCCGGGGCTGACACGTCACATGACTGTTTGTTAACTCAGCAGCAGACTGCTGATGTGCTGTCGAGCAGCAGCAGCTTCAGAAATAGAGGTGGCAAAGCGAGTCACTTCAGCAGATGCCAGTGTTGCTAATTAATCATTCACACTCCCAACACCACAACACAACACATGAGCAAGATGGGAGCGCTGACAGCCCACACCCTTTCTCAGATACATCTTATACACAGTCTAGTCTGAGGATTCGGGCTTTGCAATGGCTCATTTTAAATGATTAATTTTGTTTTTAGAGTCACGCTTGCAAAGCAAAAAATCAAGACTTAGATCAGACTGGGGAAAAACTGTCTAGTGTGTCTATTTTACAACTAATAAAACCTCTTAAATGATGTTTAGGTATTATTTTGAATGAAAAGCAATGTTAGGTTTACAATTCCTTTCCAATAACTTCTGTTTATCTGTCCTTACCCAGTGGTGTAGGGTATGTTGATGCCTCCTAGATTAATGCTCTCGCAGCCCACTATGAAGAGAGTGGAAAAGCACAGAAGAGACACCCCGCTGCAGATCATGGCCAGCTTGGCCGACTCTCTTGCGCCGAGCTTCAACTTCTTGATGATGTAGCCCCCCAGCACGATGCCCACCCCGGCACTGGGTACGATGATCACACCTGAGAAAGACATCGGTGAGATGAAGAGCTGTTGCAAGCAGATAAAACGTGCCATGGAAAAATGATAACACTGAATGAATTGGTGTAAACATCTGAGGCACAGCTTTCTAATCAGGCACACCGACACGAATGCCAAGCGAGCTTGTTATGCGTTTATATGACAGAGTTTGTGAGTTTTGTCAGAAATGGTTGCTCAAGGTCACCCCGCCCGTTTAATCAAGAATAAATTACTTTATCGAAAGCAAGAGACCAGAATAGGTTTGCTCCATCAATGTGACAAGGCCACGCTGTGGGTTAGCTGTGAGTCATTTCAGGCTGCAGCATGTGCTCTCAGTCTACCACAGCCAGTCAGACTGACAGCGAGAAGAGAGGCAACTCTGGCCTCTAGCAAAACAGGCCGAGTGGCAAGTGTCCTCGTGCTGGGGTCGAGGATCGGGGTGGGTGCACATGGCAGCCCACGAGCCCGGCCGCACATGCTCACAGCCGGGTAATGAGCAAGACCGGGTCAGTCAGCGGGGGCGGAGGGCCGTCAAAGACAGAGGATTAGCAGAGAAATGATAAGAGTACACATAAATGTCATGTGGCTTCTCACCGTATCCATGGTATTTGTGTGTGTGTGTTAAAAGCAGAGCTCAAGAGGAAAAAACAGAAGAGAGGACAAAAGACAAAGTATCCTTGAGCATGCTCAGGGAGAACTAGGCAGAATACAGGTGTTTAAAATGATCCTATAAGTGCATGTTTCTATGTTTAAACCATGCACTTTGTGAGACATTAAACATGTACACACGGGGGGAAAAAGGCTCTTTACACATATTCTTTCCGCATTAAAAGCTATTAACATGAGAGGTTACGTGTGTGTCACTATATGCAAGAGGTGCTTTAAGAACCTAAGAAGAACTATAAGGAACACAAAGGGAAACTAAAGTGACAAATAGTCAGAGTAAAAAACAGAAAGCAAAGCAGCAGAAGAGGGGGGGGGGGGAGTCTACAGCTGAGAGGGGCGTGTGTGATGTTACAGCTCTATCTCTGCAGCAACATCTAATGAACATGTAGCTGTGGCAGCTCTGTAACCAGGCATGATGCTGATCCAACAAGGTGGTAATTAATGTGATTTCAAGTTATTTCTATTTGATGTCTGTGAGACTATATTGCTATTCATTAAATGCAGTGCTAGCTCACTTTAGTTACACTAAGCTGAGTCATGTTTATTTATATACAGCACTGTGCAAAAGTCTTGAGTCACCCCTCATTTCTTTCTTGCTTCCCAGCAGCCAGACTTTCTTGGATTTTTTTTTTTTAAAGTGATCTTTTTGATTTTTTTCTTCTTTTTTAACCATCAGCCTTGCAGCGTGCACATTTTACAAGTGCTCTTCAAATAAGCACAACTCCATTACTGTTTGTGCTAGGGAAAAAACATTCAAAGGTTCCTGAAAGATGAGATTATTTTGTATTTTACAGCCACAATAGTTCTCCAGGCTATCTGGAGGTCTTTCAAAGTTTTGTGTTTGTTAAGCCATTTAACACTGACCTATGAATCACTGAAACAAACTTAACAAAAAAAACAATTTTAAATTGGCAGTTTGTTAGTAGCAGCCTGTTATAGAGACATATAATTTGCTTCCATTTCTTTACTTGAATCTATGAAAAATGCCAAAGATAATGCAACTTAAGAGACATAAAGGGGTGTTTTTGCACAAACAAGGTGATTCCAGAAGGGCTATTAGCAAAGAGATTTGGATATCTGGCATATAAATACCAAATCTATACCTACTAAGTTATAACCAACACTTCCTTTGCATCATATCCGAAATGTATTCGGTCAGTCCAGCTGACTATTTGAGGAAGCACTATGCTCCCATCAACGGGAGGCACCTCTCCTCTTTGCCTCTAACCATCATCACATCCTGGCAGCTTGGCATCATTTGAGTAGTCATGGCAACTGCACCGCCCGTTTGCCCTTACCCCTTGTATCCTGGCAACAGGCAGACGAGAAGAGGCGATGGTATTGTGTGTATATGTGAGAGTCTAAAAATGACCATATGTTAGCCAGCAGTATTCTTGGACACACACACAGACATACACACAAATACCCACACCTTCATGACTTCAAAGACATAATTAAGTTTTTAATCAGTCCTTAGCGTAGTAATCCTGATACCAGATTAGTTGTGCATTAATACCGCTGGCTCAGACGCGACTGAAGGATTAGACCGGTTCTTTGTGAACCCTACGTATGTGGTGCACAAACCGTAGGCAGGGCGGAGGGTCCTGTGCGTGTATGTGTGGTTGTGCATATCAGAGAGACCAAGCTATGATGAATGTCGCCTGCAGAGACTTGTGTGTTACAGTCATGAGATGTAATGGAAGATTATCACTGAATGAAATCCAGCAGGACTCAAAGAGTCATAGCGATGTGTGCACATGGAGAGGTGAGAACAAATGTGAGCTTAAGTCAGTACAGACTTAATCGACGGCTATTTTCTGATTGTAGAAAACAAAACCGACATAAGTATCATTAATAAAGCGAACCATCTGCCACAGCTCTTTCACTGGCAGCTAGTAGCAACATATTCACACCTACGAGTAAAGAAAGTCACACTCACCTGTGTATATGCTAGCATTGGAGGCAGGGATACCAAACTGTGACTCAATAAACTTGGGAATGAAGGTGATGAAGGCGGTGACAATGGCACACTCTGCTGTGTAGGACAGGCTGACGAACAGGAAGGTCATGTTGCTGAGGATCCTCAGTGCTGCCTTGGGAAGGTCTGAGGAGCGACACAAGACAAGACGGAGCAGCTCGTTACCGTCGCAATCAATTTCTTAATTTGGCTCTCACTCTCTCCCACACACACTCTACATTCGCTGGAACAATCGGAAGAATCGTTGCAAGAAGAGTTGTAATTGAGAAAAGCCAAAACGAGCCCTAAGTAGTATCAGCCTTAGGTAATGTCAGAGTAAACAACACTTAAAAGTCTATGAAACTCACTCAAATATTGTTAAATACAAAGATGCACTCAGCCTTGTCTCATTAGTCCGGTTAATTATTCTTGTTTCACGCACGACTGCAGAAGAAAAAGACAGTAAACAAACATGCAGATGTTCCGTGATTTCAGTGGAAAACGCTTTCTTTTTGTAAATGAGCACAATTTAACCATTCATGCTGCCCTCTTAATTATCTCCCTTCATTATTTAGTTGTGCCTAGATATCGTTTTGAGCTTCAGGGGTTTCACGAAGCCACCGGCATGTTTGCCATACAGTGCAAACATGCGGATCATGTGCCTCTGTGCTGCGTGCACAAAACCAACCAACCAATCTCTGCATTTACAGCCTGAATACTGTCATCCTTGGTTTATCATGACAAGGGCATACATGTCTGCTTGAGGGCAGTGTCCATATGATTTGGTCCCCATGATGAAAACACCCCCCCTTACTGTCACTCAGTAGTCATGTGGTCTAACTGCAAAAGTGCATTACTGTTACCGGGCAGAACTGAGCTCCTTGTCCTTCCTATGGAGTCCAGTACATTGGTCATACTGGCTGAGAAATAGCAGCGAAGAAAAGTGGACCGAAGTGTTTTTATTGATTCAAAGATAAATATCTGGTGACAATAAAAAAAAAAAAGAGGTTTGGAGCAAGTAAGGATTCAGTTGCTCATACATAAACAAGCAGGGCAGATGGTTGCTGCCAAGACAAAACAAATGTGAGACTTCCATTTGAATCACTAATCAACTCCCTGCTACTAGCCTTTAATAGTACTAGGAAATGTTTTTTAAAAATGTTTTTTATCCCACTGCAATTATGCAGTTATGTCAAAAATGCATCTCTGCATATATCTTATATACAGACATTAATGTGAGCAGGAATGATCCGGAATGACAATCTAGCACCTTTAATTAATGATCTATTAAATCTGATAGGCGGGTTACCATACTGCCAGCATAACACTGTCAAATGAGTTCATAATTTATGATGACAGAGAAATCCTTTTCATTAATGAGAAAATAAAGACCTCCCACTCACTGCTATGCCCGAAACACATTCTGTTTTCTTCTCACTCAACTTTGCATTTGCACCCTGAACGGTTTGTTCAGGGTGCAAATGCAAAGTTGCGGTCAGAGCTACAGAAGAGAAGCGAATATTATCAACAACAACAATTTTTTGTTTAGGGTGGGTTAAGTTGGAGATCATTTAAAATGAAAGTTGAATGTAGTGCACGCATTTTGTCTCATTCAAAATTTGCATAAAAATACTGTAGGCCACTACTAAGCAGTTTAATGCAGGCTAAACTGGTTAGTTTACAGTGTTGTGGTGAAATTTACAGTCAGGACTTCATGTTGGACTGCTACGGAGCAGACGTGGTGTTTGTGGTCAATATTATCTTACATCAAAGGTAGCAGACATTAATTTGTATTTCAAATGATGTTCATTAGATTCACTTGCTACCTTTTATAATACTTTCATGGTATTAAGGGGTTGGAAAAATCAGTGATATAAGTTGTGAAACATCGATATGTATGTTATTGAATTTAGCTGACTAAACACACAAAGAGCAGCAAAGGTCAGCTGACCACAACCTCACAAAAGCAAGATTTTTTAAGTAATTCTGTTCCAGATTTGAACCCTAAAATTGGATTTCAGATTTTAATCCCTGCTTATATCTTATAAAAAGATATCAGATCAGAGGAGATGGAAATATACAGTCTCTGCTAGGGATGGCTCCCTGGTTTCCCTGTTTTCACGACATATTCAGGACATTATTTCAGTCTTCTGTATATTTAATGTGTCTAAACCTTGTGTAAGATAAGCTTTCCTTGAATGTGCTTGTAAGAGGTACAAGGTCACTGGCGCATATGGACTTCTCCATCTCAGCACAGCTAAGGTATACAATTTCAGGAACGGTTTGACAGAATGAGGATCTCTGCAATCCACAGGGACCTCAGATTCAAGCTACTGCTTCTCTATAACTACTATCCATGTAGTTTGGATGTTTGATGTGCCGTAGAACGCCCAGAACTGCAGAATCTACAGCTCTAAAGTCACCTTGAGCTGGAGCAAATCATCCTTTAAGAGTCTGTAGGGTTTCCTTTGATTATAACACTTATAACAAGAGACAAAGTGAATAGAAAGAAAAATAAATTTGGGAAATGAAAAGATATGGCCTTTACTTTTTTTTTTTTTTTTTTACTATTCAGAGGAAACACAAAGAGTCAGAAAACGTCCAACCAACTTTAAGAAGTCAGGTCACAAATGTGTCAGTAAAGCTTGAGAGAAAAAAATCATTAGATTATAATGACAGCCTTATATTTTAATCATGGAAATCTTGCTCTTGCTGCTCAGTCTTTCTTCCATCTCTACAGTCTTTTTCTCTCAGTATGAGTGTGTGTGTGGTCTGATTAGTCACATCTGGGCACAAAAGTGAGACTTGGAAAACCTTTTAGTTGGAGGTGGCTCGCGTACCCTCTGCGCAACTGGCATCTCCAGTCTCTCCCTGCTAGTGTGTGTGTGTGTGTGTGTCCAGGGATTTTAAACATAAAGGTTTTACAGCCATGCGGCTCTCACGAGGGCTTCTTCTGACTCACACGCTTCAAAAGCAAATACCACAAAGCAAAGCAGGAACAAAAGAAAGGGCAGAAAGAAAGTGATGTTGATTATCATCGCCTTTTATTAAAGGAGGTTATTAGGAAGCCGGCCAGTATGACTAGATGACACGGTACCTAGATATGAGAATAGCAGTCTCAGTACTAATGCAACTGATCTTGTTGTAGGCAGGGAAATATTAGCAGCATCTGTCAGCATTATCCCAGATCAAAAGGTAGGAAAAGGAAAGTGACGCTAATTATTTCATTCCTGGGAGGCGTGCTGTAACGCTGTCTGCAGGGGGACAGATGGTGAAGTCCTGCTGGCATCTACAGCAGCTGCTCCCTCAATCAGACAGACCACTGGCTCACAAGAGTTGCCACATTTGCTTTTCTATTAGAATTTATTTGACGACATCGTCAAATTGTGTCATCTATTTGATCAAGCCAACCAACAAGGTTGAAACACACCGACACGTCGTTAATAGTCGCGTGTCACATTTCGTGTTGGTTAAAGATATAGAACGACAATTTACCGCAGTTAGTAATGCAATGCACCGACCCCTGTATCATTTTAGCTTTAAGTCATTGCGCGCTACAGTGCTTAAAACTGATTTGAGAGGGTATAAATGCAAAACGCATATTTTGACATGAAATGACTCTATTCTTCAGACGAATGCTGACGTTTGGAGCTAAGAACTGAGTCTTGGAATCCGTTTTATCCTGTGAGAAATAAATGGCAGCTGAAATACCTGTGTGTGTATTTCACAGCATGCCAAAGTAATAAATCACATATTGAAACATGGCTGTAATACACAGTATGTGTCAGCAGTTGTTTATCCATAATGACAACATTTCCATGGGGAACTGCATTCACGCAGCAGTAGACCAAGGCCTGGAATTTTCCATAATCAAAAGTTTGTCCCTGTGATGTGTAAAAAAAATCAGTGTTAGCATTTTTCAGGGTTTGCTTATGATGTGAAGGGCACAACAAAAAAGAAAAAAGAAAAAAGATAGCTACTTCACTGCAGCATATCTTTCGCAGAAAGTGCTGAATTCGGGCTATGGACAAACAAGCACACCTCAATTGAAGGACATGCACAGTACTGAAATACATTCCAGATCCAAACACTGAACCTCCCGAGTCTGCGAAATTGGCCACAGTTTGCACAACAGACCAAAACATTGTGCTGAGACAAATAAAACAGCCGGAGAGCTAGCTGTGGGCTGATGAAGCTATAACGCATTCATCATCATTCCAGCACGCTTGCATCTCTCTGAGACGAAATCCTGTTCCGAATGCTCCGACGTACACACGGGGATTCAT